ATACCAAGATGCTTGTTCATGTCTGTTGAATTAACATATAGAGTATTTTTGTATACTGTGTAGAGGAACATATTTTATTCTCCAGATGTATTTTTATTCTGTAAATCATTTCTTTCAAACATTAGAAAGTTCAAAGAGATCTCTGGCAACCAGTGCTGACTGACTAACTTCTGCAAAGCAACTCTTTGGGTACTTAACAATATAATTTGCCCAGAGTATCTGTCTTTGTATGGAAAGACACAGCAATCCTCACAGAACCTGCTACCATGAATCATGTCTGTCAAAACAATTCAATGTAAACACTGACACGCTTTGTGGCCTCTGTTTGTTTGGCTGTCGTACATACAGGCAGACAAAAAGAGCTGACTGTTATGACCACTGCCAGCCAAGGCTTTATGACACTCCATCTCTTTTTAGATCATTGATCAACAGCTGCTCCACACCGTGTCTTTCTTATTAGTATTAGCTGGCGTCTAACTCCATTGCAGTGTTGTGTGTTACTCGGAGTGAGTGAGATGTACATGATTTGCCGGAGCACAAGTTGCTGTGACGTAGAATTCAAAGGCATATTCAACTGCCTGATAAAATACAACACACTACTGCTGGCAAAGTCACAAGATGATACAGTACAAGTGTTACACAGAGAACACCAGCTCACAACCTCAACCAGCTGAAATATGACAACAAATTAAAGTAAATCAAAATAAATCTGTCATGAACAATACAACAATACTGAAATAGGATCTTTTCATTTTGTGGCAGCTCCTATATCCTGTGTCTGGGACCCAAAAGCACAGGTCAGGAATCCCTGACCTAAAACAATCCTCCTCAACAGATCCAGTACCTTCTATACAACCACTCTCTGAGACACTTAAACTCAGTCTGAACGAGGGTCGCTCGGTGAGAGATGCCCTAAATGTTTTTTTTTTATTTTTTTATTTGAGATCTAAAGGAAATCCACACATACAAAAGCAGTTTCAAAAGTTTCTTACCACAGTGCCTGCCAGTCAGTAAAATACAGCTGCTGGCCTGGAACCCTTATAACTCCAAAACAACATTATAATGCACAGCTGTTTATTTAATAGGTGGCTAAAAATGAGAGCTATTTCATCTATCAGCTATTTCATTTCTTACAATTTAAAAATTAAACATTTTAAATGTGCTTTTAAAACATAGCAAGACACAGAAAGTCAAGACAAGAAGCCTGTCTGACCTCGATCTGATCAGTGAAACACCTGCTGGGGCTCCCGCTTGAAGATGACTGAGACAGTAACTAAGCAACAGAGGTTCATAGCAGGTCACGCACAGGAAAGCTGGGTACTACATGTACAAAAGAAGTATTACTGAATTTGTAAACAAAACCCTGGTCTACAAGAGTTTGCCAACACCCTGTTGGCTACAGATTACATTATTCCACCGGCTAAAAGAGAGTATGCACACCCCAAGAAGTAGTTACAACTGTGTACTATGTTTAACATTTTCTATCTATTAAACACATAATAGTGCAGTTATTTCACTACACATAAGGGGATAAACTTATATAACGTTATTCTTGCTTGCTGCCATCTGCCATGACTGTGGGTTAAATGCAGGTGTGCTGCTATTGGGCTATAAAAGGCAACATACAACAACATCAACACAAAAATCCATTCAAAGAAATCCTAGTTCACATACTTCAAACAGGCCAGATGGAGAAATCAAATGTATCCAGAGACAAAAACAGGCACAGTCCTGAAATACAACACCAAAAGAATTCAGAGAAGAATCCAATATAACTTGATCTTCTTCCTCATACACATAAACAAAATATATAAAGAGCAACACTTTAGGACACATGTAAACTACACCTGCCTCAAAGCTCCTCCTCAGACCCTCTCCTGTTATTCTGTCAAAACAGCAGCCCGGTGGAAATGATTTGTGTAAGGCCATGCTGTCATCTGGTGACATCACACCACCAGGGAGAATAAGAGGTGCCGCAGAGCGAAGAGGATGTGGAAGCACAATTGTCGACAGAGCAGCTGCCTGGGTATCTAAGGATTTGAGATCAAAAGAAAACCAAACGGACAGAAGAAGAACAGAAAGTACAGCTGCCAGCTTTTAATGCTGCCAACAAAACTCTTAGTGTTGGGAGCATGTAAAGTATAGCCAAAAATGTTTAAGCTGCACATTCAAATTCACATGTTGTCAACAGTGTCATTCCTCCTCCATGGAATCGCTTGGTTCACACCTACAGTCCACCTGGGAAACATGCTAAGTACAAGCTAGTTAACACTTTGACGTGGTCTGACGCCCTTTCATCCAGCGTACAATGGGCCACAACACTGGCCAACTCTGAGATTCCCTCCAATAACATCTAATATTTCTTGCTTTTTTCTGCATTTCTCAGCATTAAATTTGGCATAGATCTGACTACATCCAGCATCTCAGTGCACGTTCTTCTAACACCTTCAAGCACTAACGCAAAGCACTGTGTGCACTGGCTTTCGAGGTAAATGTGCTTCTATAAAAAATAATCATGACATCACAGGGTAAAGACATGACCTTTCAATAAGGTACTTTTTTGCCCAGTGCATCAAAAAGAGGCCAACAATAGAGGAGTGGGTGTTTGGTAAACAAAGACCGACTGCTAGACCTGCTGGACAAGTGCTGATGCCATCTGTCCTCAGCAGTTCATTTTCTGTTGACAGTGTTTTATCATCGCTTTGCACAGGATGGTTACTATATCAGTGTAAAGTTATTAAACTGATTAACTCTGAAAACTGCCACTACACTGAACAGAGTGCAGCTAAATGCAGAATGATACAAAGATTTCTTTAGTTTAATATTACATACAGTATACTGTATAACCAAGCACATTATTTAAAAAATAATACTTTCTAATCAAACTCACTAGCGCACTCCTTCCTCCTTCACTCACCCACACATTCTCTGTGCAGAGAACTCTGCAAACCACTGCTCATGAAATGCTGTCTGTGTGCTTCTCTCGCTCTGTCCTTGACAACACAATGCCGTTTGTCACTGTGATTATGAAAGTGCACTCCAGCATAAATACATGAATTCATTTTCAGGCGCAGCAAATACTGCGATGTCTATAGAAGAAACACTGACTTCTTTCACTGTCGCTGTACATGTGTAGGCACCCAGTATCATCATGTTATTAGACATTTGATGTATGGGAAATGATCAAGAACAGAACAAAGTGATTTACAAACTTTGTTCATCCAAAAAGTAAATGACTGGGACTAAGTCCAATTTCTCTGGAGGCCAGTATTGGGAGTTGGTCTCAGGTTCTAGTCTTGGTCAAGAGTTAGCCCATGAACCATTAACCATAACAAGAGTAAAGTAATTAGATTTAGAAGATCTACAAATACAAAACAAAATGCCTTCCGTCTCTGAACTACAGTAAAACCGGCTGTCAGGGTGCCTGTAGGTAGTGTAGACCATTTGAAATTGCCTTGTACGACCCAAAATAAAAGTTCAGTACTCACAAGCTATGGCGAGGAAACTACTATAACCAAACAATTCCCACTGGGGCATGAGAAATGAGGGCAAGTGTGGCAAACACTTGGCTGAAAAAAATTTGACAGCTAAATTATGCATTGTCACATATGGCAGGATAGCATCTTGGTCTAACTGAGGTTGAAATGGTTAATGTTTGGCCTGGAGGGATCTTGCATGACTAAATGTATGAGGACATAGGCTGTAATGGCAGCAATCTGGGCTCCCTTACTGTTTCACGAAATTTTGTGACCACAGCTGTTCAACTGTACTTTTGTTGAATGTTATATCTTTTTGCATATTGTGCGTAATCAGCAGCGTCAGAGACTGCCAGAAGGACTAGCCTGTTCCCAAGTGTAGTCCCAAGCAATTACAACCCTTCACCCAATAATAACAATAACAGCTTCCATTGCATTGGTCATCTGACCACAAATACAATATACTGCATTTAAATAGTAATAACATTTTCAAGAACCTTTATTTTTACAGGTTTATCATGTGGGGTGTCCCAGTAGTGCACTTGGGACTGAAAGCTCTCATGCCCTAATGTACTGTATATATATGTACATATATTTATAAATGCTGCCTCTCTTTTCCTCTCATTCGTTTCCTGTTTTTATTGGACATATTTCCTATTTGAATGCACACAGTTTATTTTTATTCTCATTTCTATTTTCTATTTCCTGATGCTTTAAAACACAGTGAGAGTCTCTGTACTGGAGTCAAACTCCTTTATGTTCAAACATATTGGTCATTAAAGATGATTCTGATTCTGACTGTATTTAAATCCAGTGGCAGCATTTTTCTACATTTTGGTTTTTAGACAAAATGCTTGACAAAGAAAATGATGTGTCACTGCGACACTAGTAGACTAGATGCAGGAGAGCAAGACGCATTGAAGATAGCGGACTGTGCGTGGCGACCCTGTTGCTGGACAAATGACTGACCTGGCAGATTGAACTCGGCCATTGTTGAGCTCAACAACGGTCTAAGGCCCTGTCTTAATCATACACACAAAGGAGGCTTGTCACCGGGGCCCTGAAATATTCATGGGACTGAAATCTTCTGCTATTGCTCTCTCTCTCTCGTTCTCTCACTCTGATGGAGAGAAAGGCAGCTGTAGCTCTGTGCAGGCTCGTCTAGTCTCCTGCAGGTGCTATCAAATGACGGACCAGCTAACTGGGCTATAGTGACAGCTCTCTCATCTAGCTGCTTGTCTTCTTGCTTCAACAGATTGACTGACAGTCTTGCGGTTGGAGAGGAGCCATGTGAAATTAAGTCCTCAGTATGACAGAGACATCAGAGCTCGTATTTTGTTTGATGGACCAAAAACCCAAATTTATATTCTGTAAAAGAAATTTTTTGCCATTTTATGAATGTCAGAATAAAGTTTTTTTTTTTAACATTAAGTTCATCCGTATTTGGGAAATGGGCTTCACAGTGTCAGTTTTAAACTACAAAATGATGAGTTTTATGAGTGCTGATGACTGTGAATATGTTACCTTTACGATGGGGTGGCCACCAGACGCTGCTTTGACAGCTCCTCGGCTGCCCTCAGTCTCATAGTGCGCTCGGTGGTGGGCTTTGGGTTGCACCTCTATCTTCAGTTCATACTGGCCAAACTGGCTTGGCAGGGGCCAGTCTAGAGGAGGCAGCGAGGAAGTCCTGAGGAGAGAATGCCACAAGCACATACAAAAGGAAGAGCTCGTTAGAGCTTTGGTTAGAAACCATGCTAACATACAGTTCTGTAAAAGATCTGCTCAAAAATGTATTTAAAGCATTCAGCAGAAATGTCTGTGGTTACAGTAATGAAATATGAACAAACAGTTCTGAAGCTTCAGACTAGGACAGGACAGAATCATACCAGTAGCACAGAAAGAACATTTTAACAGTCTTAACACTAAGAATTTCCCTCAGAAACTGCTTGGGTAGACAAACCTTCCTATTTTCCAAATGTTGAATTATTCTGTATTGTTAATCCTGGCTGTAACATCACAGTGTGAGATCAAGCAGGAGAACCTCTCTTTCTACTTCACAGCGGATGACAGCCTGTCTTAAGTCTGTTTGAAAGCATTCAAAAACTGAAAAAGTGGTATTCCCCTTCCATTATAATAGGCAGTATAATGGGTGTAAAATGGGGGTATAACAAGAAATGTACTTAGCCCCAACAAACAGTGAATCACTGGAATACCCACATACATTAATCCTGTTCTTAAACATAACACTTTTAATAAGTTAACCTAAGAGTTTAAGGGTGAATCATTTTCTAAGGGGGACTTTTCTCTGTGAGTGTGCTGTGTGGGTCACTGGATGGGTGGTAGGATGAGTGTGTGTCAGACAATGAGTAAATTACTGTATGAGTTTGTGTGCATGATGAACAAGTGTATATTTTATGTGTAGTGCAGCACAGGGGGTTGGTCATTGCGTGATTTTCCTCTGTCTCTTTTTTTTTTTTTTTTTTTGTCTGTGTAGGCCACAATCATATTTGAACAGCTGCACTTGAAAACAAAACACTCAGTGGCGTTTTCCACAGAGAAACTAGGTCTCTGTATCTGAGTGTATTAGAGGCAGTTGACCTCCCAAACATTCTGTAAACACTCACATCCCTTAGCGTCATCTGAGCCATAACCTTTTCTGATTGCAATTTATTTATTCCCCACAGTCCAATAACAATAATGATTTTAGAATATAGCTGAAACAGGTATAAATCTGGACCATAAACCATACAAAGGACTCATGAGTGAAATATACTCCATGAACTTTCAGACTAACTACACTATCTTTAATAATCATGATTATCTTTACATCTTGGATAAAACTATTGATTTTCTGATGATTGTGATTTTGAACAATTCAATCATCCTTTGTTGAAATGCCAAGATTAATTTTTTGCATTGTCTCCTTTCCAACAGTCGTCTTTTTTAGCACAGCAGCAACTGTGCACACTCACTTTGTTCATGGATATATGTGACTGCATGTCTATGATTGTGACTGTTGGGCATAGGTCAGCAAACTGACTCTGTACTGTAGGCAGCTGGATGTACATGTATGTGCTGTCTCATGTTCTAGCAGGCAGATGCGCTATGCTACACGCTGCTCTCTGTCTCAGTGTTGACCACTGCAGGCTCTTCATGCATCCTGTCACACGGTGGCATAAACTGTAATTTGGCTCTAACCATGACAGTACAGGCTCCTAGGATGCAAACACACTACGTCTAAACTGCATGACAGATCTTAGACACTTATATGTCTGTGCTTTTTTTCTCATGTTGCTGTGACTCTTCCCTTTTTGAAAGCCTGTCAAGTGCATCTGGAAAGGGAAGACCAATCTGTCTGATCCATCAGATGATAAACTGCCCTATAGCTAGGCAGCAAATGCAAAAGGAGGACTGTATTTTGGAATGAAAAGGCTTGTCTCTGATATGTTGTAGAGGTTTTACGCAGCTGAATGTAGACTTGTGGTTAGAAATGTAAGTGAGCTACACTCCAGAGATTCTCCTACCGTTTATGGTAGTCTTCACTTGTTACTTTAACACTAATTTGCCAGGTTGTGGAAGTCAGTATAGGTACATATATAACACTAACAGTTCTTATGAAATTATCCTGACACTTTTGGCTTTGTCTTTTATCATTTTTCCCTTCTACTGCTTTACTATATGGTTCTTTATTTGCAAAGTGCCATAATGAATGTCCAGTGTGCTGTAACATGTCAAGTTAAGGTTTTGACAGCAGTTCTATTTAACAGTTAAGAGAATAACATAGTGTAATATTAGCATCCTAACCCTTATGTTATCCTCTCAGCAGTCATGACATAACCAGCCAGGAAGTGTGGGTTTGCATGGCTGCTATGTAAGCAGAGAAGGACAGAGGAAATATGAGCTTTGTGACAGAGGAGAGCAGGAGGGGCAGCCTATGTGCTGACATGGCATAACCTTTCTCAAATGTCTAAGCCATAGTGTTTGGGCTCCCAGTTCAATCACATTCCCAAAACTTAGTCTTCTCTTCAGTCTCCATCAACCATTTCCATCCAGCGAATTAGGTCATTTTGATCTGCACATGTTGCATGAATGAGATCCAGTCATTGGACATCCAGACATTGAAAGTCTTTACGATTGCCTCATGGTATACCAATAAGCATACATACAACATCCATCTAATAATACCATCAGTACCTCTGCTGCTTAATCAAAAGAAACTGCATTTCTCACTCCAAAAGTTACCACGGTGTTAAGGTGCAAACAAACAGCCAATTAGAACGCTAATAGTTCATTTATTAATTTATCAGTGATGTAATGATTACTAGCCCCTAATCCATCTAAAGAAAGGGATTTTTTGCTAACTACCTTTAGCCTCAGCTCTGCTTACTGACTGGAGCTGTATGTATGGTATTTGTCACTGAGTAATGCTGGGCTTTGTTCAAAAAAGCTTTTGGCAGCCAACTCATGAGAGTTCCATTAATATCTAATTGTAGACAGCTCAGTGAGCAAGGCGTGAGCAGTCTGTTTGTCAAATCAACTGTGTGAACACCCCACCAATTTTTAATCCCCCCAATTCCACCTAGGCCATCTGTTAAGAACACCACTAACACGTATATGCACACACACAGGCAAGTTAACAATCTTCTATCTCATGGCATACGGCTGTTCACGCCACCTGGCTCTGTGCTGTAGAAGTCATATCTGAAAATGGAAAAACAGTTCTAACCTGTATTTAATGCCAGTGAGGGGCTATACTGAAGGCAGGCTGAGCAATGGTAGTAGAGACAGATCTTGGACAACTTTTTAACTGAAGAAGGAGCTGGGGTGTTCTTCATGATGTCACTTTTAACTCTACAACAATAAAATTAGTCTGCTACTGTCAGAGCTGCATCTCTCTTAGGAAATTTCACTTACAAGGGCAGGAACAAAGGGTGCAGGAACAAATGGGATCTATCATAGAGCTGACCCTGTTATTGTCTGGAGAGTGTTATGTCTATGTGAGCAAGCATTAGTGGTATGTCTATATACTATGTGTGCGTGTGGCCCTCTTGCCATGTGTGCCCTGTGCTGATTTACAGCACTAGGGGCCAGTGCACGCAAACAAGGCCATGTATTCACATGCGGCACACACTGAAGAGCAGACTGACTTCTCTTCTAAAAAAAGCTTTCTCTCCAAGAAAACTCTATTATGAGTTTCTGATTGCACCATCACTCTTTATTGTGGAAATTGTGCCTATATTTGTATGTGTATGTGTGTCTGGAGGAGCTGGTGTGGGTGTGTGTCCCTGTGATTCCCTCCACACATTAATAAGCTTGTATAATCCTATGGTGTTGATTTATGCTGCTGATACAAAGCTCAAAATTCTGCCATTATTGAACAGTGATCTGCAGAGTTCCATCAACAAGCCCATTATTCATTCAGCTGCTATCTGATGCTGATTTACCGAACTGCAGTATTTTCTCTCCTGCATCACAAACATCCACCGAGGTCGAATGTTTAGCCTTGACCTAGTAATTGTATTGAACACGTTGTTCTATCGAGTGCTAACTGAATTAATAATTCACACAAAAAATGTGATAAGGAGGCTGTTATCATTGTTTGGCTCTACAATAGTAATAGCTATAAGGTTTGGGATGTCATCCATCAAGATGGAATCAATCATATTCCTCTCTAATACTGCAGACACAACTGTCACCAGTTCCCTCTCAAATACAAACAGGAAGTAGAATAAAAGAAATGGATTGCAACAAAGTTCTTGCAACCAGTTGAGAAATTAGTCCTCGCTGACATTTGAAAAGATAAAAACATCTGACTTTTGCAGACACTTGGTTTGTAGCTGAGTTTTCTACACCTGCATGAATCCTTTTCTGTAGATGGATCAGATGATCGTATCTTTCAGGTGTAGCGGAATTTAGAAGAGACTGTTAGTTAGTAAAATCCTCCATCAGAATCTGCACATTTACCTGAATATAGGTGTATGACCAGGTTTGGGTTTGTTCCATGAGAAGTGAGAGGGCACTGAGAGGAACTGCTCCCCAGGTCCATCCTTCTTCAGGCTATGCAGGGCCTCATCTGATGGAGAGTCTAGATTAGAAGACATATTTCCTTGGTCATCTAGCCCCAGCTCCCCTTTCCCAGTCTGCATAGCTGTTCTGTCCTGTGAGGTCTTCCTTGTCTTGGAAGGAATGTCTGCCTCAGATGGACAGCACTGAAAAGGTGACATGCCAACTGAAGGACTGCCAGCCCAGGTGTCCTCTGTCACGCTGCCCCTTGGCGAAGGTCCCGGCGTGGCTGTAGGTGAGTGATGTGGAGACAGTGAGCCAGGGTAGCAGATGTCGGCACTAGAGTGGCGCCTCTTTCCACAGGGTGAGGTGGGACGTGAGGAAGGCCTGGAAGGTGGCCGCGGGCTGAGCCAATTTTCATCAGTGACACTGGTGCGTGGGGAATGGCAGGGAGACTGCCGGGGTGACAGGCTGATGGAGTGGGAGTGGTGCACAAAGGCAGGGTGCTGGTGCTGCCAATGGGGCTGCTCCTCCAGGATTCCACCACCAGTTTGAGGGGAGGCACAGCTTGGGGAAGTAAGCGGGGAGCCCAGGGTAAACCGGGCAGCTGCTTCATTTAGCTCTGAGTCAACATCGTCATAGACATGTGAGAATGATTCACAGGAGGAGGCATCAGAGAACCAGCTCCTAGAGGAGATGCTGCTGCATGGGCTAGGGCTGAGCGATGTGTCCCGGTATGAGTGGTCCAGTGGCAAATACAGGTGGTCTCTAGACAGGGGCCTGTCACCATGGTAGTCCCCATCAGGACCATTGGCCCTCAGATCCTCCTCACTGGCATCCATCTCCTGCTGGCAGCTAGGGGAGATAGAGGTGATCTGGATACTGGGACACTCAAAGGCCTTTGGTGCCTCCATAGGAACAGAGGGCAGCAGGGGGGCAGTACCATACTTGGAGTCTTGTGCCTCGTAGTTTGGTTTGTGTGACTGAAGGCGAGGGGATGTGCTGATGACCTGGGAGTGAGAGTGCATGCCATGACGAGACAGGCCAATAGACTGGTGGTTACTGACCATAGACTGGGGCTGGCCCACATTTAGGATGTAGAAAGATGTGTTGTCATCAGGCTCCAGATCTAGAAGAACACAAGAAAGGGAAGATTAAAACAAGTACAGGCAGTGAGAAATCAATAATGACACTGGACCACATTCACCAACATCTTCCAAAGGGTTTTCTGAAATTTCTTCATAGGTTGTTCTTAAGAAAGGTCCTAAGAAAAGTTTACATCTGATTCATGAACGTGTTCTTAAACCAGAGAATTGTTCACACCTGTGTTCTTATATTGACAAATCCTATGTGTTTGTAAGCTGAAAGTGCATGCCAATCATTCCTAATTAGCATCGGTTAACAACCTGCAAATGGCCATAAAAGGGCATGGGACTGCAGGGCCATGTGCACACAGCTACTCTCACACAGAAACGGAAAACAGAAGTTGAGAAAACCAGGAATGCTACAACAAAAATCTAAAGACGGTGGAGAAACGAATTCCAAAGCAAAAAAAACAAAACCTTGAGCAATTATGAAGTGGACAACCACAAATGAGCTGCCATATTTAGCAGCATCAGTAGTGGATATAAAATAAAACAAAAACGATGCATGGGATGTTCTGACTCGTTCAGCAAACACTGTATAAGGAGAAGGGCGCTCAAACTGATGAATTACAAAGATGGTTTGATCTCAAATCTGAGGCAACAGAACAAACACAGAAGAGAGACAATAACTGGAGGAGGACAGGCTGGCCCAGAGTTATCTGAGTTGGACCAGCGCATGGGGGCCACACACGGCTCTCGGGTGGGCCGTCAGCTGAGCAGACCTCCATGTGGGCACCCAGTTACCTTCCACTGCTCTGAGTTTTACTTCAGATACGGTGCTGGTCAAACAAATGCTGACACAATGGCCAAAATATCCAAGAGACACTTAAAGAAATTAGAAATAGACATATGCACTTAAACGTGTTTGGTTTTTATGCAACATGTTTCCTAATTCTAAGCCACAAATAATCACACTGTAAAAGTTAATAAATTTTAAAGCTTTGATTTAGAAACAAAACTATTTGCTTGCTGTAATTTTGTGTAGTGTTTATTTGTTTTAAAAGACCATAATGTTTCATAAAATAATGAGAAAAATATTAACTACTATTAATGACAAAACCGTTATTGTAATGCAAATAATTGTATAACTGAAGAAAACCAAATAACCAGTTATTTCACTCAAATGTCAGCACTCAAATGTGTGTAACTGTGCTCCTGAGTGTGTGTAGACTCTGTTCCTACCTAAGAATAAATCCCAGATAAGAAAACACTGGTGAATGCCAGAATCTTTGTGAAAACTTTGTGAGTTTTATAAACAAATATTTCCTTAAGAACAGCTGGTGAATGTGGACTGTTGTTTTTGACTAAGATTAGTTTGTGTTGGTTCCTCGATTAAGCACGAATGATCCAGAATGAACCGATGCTAATAAGGCCGAACTGCCGACCCCAAAGGCAAGCACGATACTGAAAACACATTTAAGGCTTTGGATATTACTTTTTGGGTTGCTGCATATTTATGCCTTGGAATTCTTCCCCTTCCACAGCAGCACAGACAAGTAGTCTGGAGCCTTTTCTATTAAACTGTCTACCTTTTAAAAGGGATAAGAGGAGAGCCGTAATTCCTCATTATTCCTAGTAATATATTCATCCTGCTGCAGCCATGTTTTTACACAACCAGGACCATACTTGAACCTTTGGTTGCCAAAATAGCACACAATTATGGGGTCAGAGACCAGTGTGCAGTTGTGTCCTTAGTTTGCGCTTGCTGCCGAGCCCAATTTCAGGAAATTAAAGGCCTGAGTGTTGCTGGGTAGCAGGCAGTTATACAGGCATTTATCCAAGAGGGATAACTGATGAACAGCACTACTCAGGAAACAAATTCATACAACGGTGCGTGCTGTCAGCTGTCATCACAGCTAGCGCCGGCAGGCTATTTATACCAAAGGTCATCCATTACAGGCAGCATGTACACACACAAACACACACCCACACATAAACAAATAGACAAGCGCCTATTGTCCACAGTGGCACTATTCAGTTAGAGGTTATTGATAAACTCTGCTCTGCTGCTAACACTGAGATTAACCCCCCTCTCTCAGGGTATTATGTGTGAAAACTTCAATTCACTTGCAGAGACAACTTCATTAGAAATGTAGGACCTGAGAATTTGTCTATTTAAAAAGGTGTTTACATGGCTATTTAAAAATCTATCTATCGTATCTAAAAATATCTCCACCGTCAATGCAGATATTAATTTGGGATAGTTGTACTCTATCGTGCATTAAGTGTAACAGAGGCCACAGTTTACAACTCATTATTTTTGTAAAGTACCACTCACCAAACCAATAATTCATTTAAAAGCAAAAAACCACATGTAACATAATAACTGTAAACAGTAAATAACAGAAAAATAAACTAATACCAACACCATGTGACACCAGTCTGTCATGTCCCATCTTTGGCCTTTAAGCTATGATGAATACAACTTAGCTAAAACCACAGTGTAGCCTGCACAGGACAAGGTTGGGAAATCTTTACACTTCCCCATATTCCTTAAATGTGCCTGCCTATAAATAGGCTTTTCTTTATTTAAAACTGAGTAAATATTTAACTTTAGTTCTGAAAAAAGGGGAAAAAGTTTGGGGGAGGGAGTGTGCATTGACAGTATGTTTCTATGCCCCTTCTATTTCCAACAGCAGCACCAGAGGCAGTAACAGCGAACTTTATTTATAGCTGCAGGACTTTGCACTGGCCCTGCCTGCCTGTCACAAGACCCAGCAGTGGATCCTCTGATGACAGCATCTGACTGAGTGACAGTGAGCAAGAGAGGGACGACAGAGTGGAGAGAAAGAGGCTGTGAGGATTAGAAAAAGGCTCTCAGTCAGTGAACTGGGAATGTATTAACATTAAGAGAACAGAGGAAGAGAGAAGGAAGAAAGAGGGGGCAATAGTAAACCCACACTTTAAGTGCATACCAAGGCATCACACGTTACCATAACACATGCTCAGGGAAAACAGAAACATCAGCTGTAATTTATAGCGACACAGGTTTTCCCTGGGTTGTAAAATGTTCCCCAACTACGATAATGATGATGGAGCAAATCTACATTTCATGAATCTTTCCTTCTTCCTCTAGAAAATAATTAAAATTGGATAAAGCTTTACTTACAGTACAGAGAAACCACAATTAAAATATTTAAGTTTTCTAAAGCAGGAGAGGGATTTACACCTTGCCTTAATTCTTCTTTCTAAACACCCCTATCATAGAGACAAATATCGAGAAGACCATACTGAATTACAGAAAAGGTGGAGGAGTGTGAGGTGAGAGCACAGACACAGAAGTATTCTAATAAAGAATCTGGTTGAAAACACCTTCCCTGTTGTTGAGTGGCTGTTTACATCTTGTCCTCATCAAAATTCTTTTCTAGAAGGGTGAGATGGGCGAATCATCACTACATAAATAGAACCTGACTTAATTAGCATAGTTGACCAAAAAAAAAAAAAAAAAGGGAAGAGCGAGAAAGGGAGTTGCACCACAAAAAGAGCAGTGGGGACAGTCTGCCTCCCTCTCCACTAGTCAGAGGAGCCGTTGCTTAACATATTATAGCCCAGCAGTATGTCCTGGAGAGATGGCTGCAGTGAGGACACATCGGTCTTAGTCACATTAAACAAACAAACAAACAAACAAACAAATCACCATTGAGGAGAAATTTTAAATCAGATTTTATAGAAACTACTTTTGTTAAAGTTTTCTTAGGAGCCAGAATGGTAGAGATTATCACATTGGCATCAATACAATGGCTGCCCAAATGCAAATGCAGAATTTTAAGAGCTAACAATTAAACCCACACCCCCTCAGACAAAGTCCATTTCAGATATGCAAAGTAACCCTGAACTGATCTAGACATTACCAGGAAGAGCTAAATGTAAGAAGGCCGATGTCTGAACCACCTGGGCTGGACATTAAAAGGACTTCACCCTGCCAGCTCCCTAGTACAATGCCTGTACAATGTCCAAGTGAGCCCATGTGTGAACAGAACAGGTTACGGTCTGGAGAATTCACACCAAGCTAGTGGACGTGTTGATGACCTTTATTCATGCAACTGGCGCAAAAGCAGAAGAAAAACATCCAAGGGTGAAGAAGAAGGGTCAGTTACACCAACAAAAATGTCTAAACGGAGAGACAACGAGATCTGGGAACTTCTGTCTTTAAGGGTCGATGCCGCAGTCGGCAAACAAATTCAAAGAGACTGGGTTCTTAGTGACCAAAATTATAAGTGTTGTCCTAGTGATGACAATGAAATCGGTACCTTGTCCTTGGACTGAAAGTTTCTCGGTCGGCTCAGATAACAGAAATCCCTTTTCTGGGTTGTCCTACAATGTCAGTGGTGCTGGTGCGATGTTCATTTAACATACAGAGTTCAAATTTATTTGCCATGCTATTTGCAATAATGCTGTCTCTATCGCTGTACCATAATGGCTTCAGCGCTTATTTGAGGTGAGTTATCACACATAGTCCATCTACGTTTGCATATCTTGACCCATCATAGTACACAGTGGAGACAGTGAAGTGGCAGTGATGTTCAGACAAGGGTCAGACAGGGGGTGACCATATTACCTGGCATATACTGTAAACCTCTCCTTGCCTTGAGATAAGATTAGCCCGCTACCTAAAACCCTCCAGTGTGGGGAAAGGGAGGGTGGTAGGAAACCCCCACATCAGAGCCAAACACCAGTCACCTTAGAAAAGAGGTCAGAGAGAAGTAGAGGAGAGGGGATTTAGTTGCAAATCCTCTGCACTGTTCCTGATAATCTGGCATATCACACACTTCTCAAGAGTCCATATATCAGCCAATCCTGGTAAAATAAAGATCTTTAAGAGGCTAAGCTAATAACAGATCTGACTAATTGGAAGACGTTTCAATAAAATAAAGACTGGTGTGTCCTCTCGGCAACCACAGGACACAGCCCCACTAGTGATGGTAGGATTTACTTTGGCTCCTTGACACAACGCTCAACAGACCTCTGGCTGACCGTCACACTG